GAAATATGTTCTTTAATTTGCGTGCCTTACTTTCAATGTATAGACAGAGAGGAAATAAGGATCTGGGAGAAGATTTGTGTACCATGACTAGTAGCTAATGACAGTGGCATATGAAGAATTCTGTTTCGTAACGTGACTCTTAGCCGCTCTTCGGGGTACACATGACTTCCACGGTTGGCTACGGCATTTTAAAACGTTCTGACTAGGTTGCAGCTAAATAAAATCAGTGTTATAACGTATACTCACCGAAAATGTTATAGGAGTTCCCCTTCGCGTACAGTGAAATTCGGCAACCCTGGAATTCTGCACACACAAAACAGCATCGAACGGAAGTCATAAGAAGTGTTGAGATAATAACCTCGTGACGCGTTACCACGCGTCACGTGTATACACGCCTGACCACGCCTTCCCGCGCAATGGCATAACCCAACTATTTCGACATCTTTAATTTACTCAGATAAGATTCCCGTGATGATCCATATGGTTGGGGTAGCAAGCGCACATCTGTACAACAGAAAAGTTATATACAACAGCCTCCATTTGGCGTGAAAATATACACTGGGACGTTGTCTGCTCCGAGAAGCGAAAAGTTCTCGAGGGTAGTGTGAGCTTCGAGGAACAGATAACGTCCAAGGACAAATATACGAGCACATTTTTCAGTGAAATGGGAACTATTGTGTTCATTGCTATCCTTCAAATAATCTTTGCAACACACGGGATCTGAAAATTGGGGAACATCACTCGGAAATGCGCCAGTTTAAGCTGGAGAAATTCAGTCACATGACGCGTTTAGACCAATCGCGTTACTAGCGAAAATATTTGATGGATTAAAAGTCTTGATATGCACCGAAAAGTGCAGAAAGTAATATTTCAGAAATTCGAAATTGACTCTGATTAAACATTCCGGTAAGATACTAAAATAAATATATCTGACTTTTAATTCGCAACTAGTAACCAAAATGTCAAATTTTTCTTAATATAGCTGTATAGCTTTATTATTCCTGTCATCCTACATGGCCACTAAGTCTTTGTCATTTGAATCTCGAGTGGAATGTTGTTTTTATTTTTCGAAAACCAAAGCAAACAAATGGTAATTTCCACTGCAACTAAGGTCACGCCACTACAATTTTCATTGTCATATATCTACAACATGTTTGATGCAGTTACAAGCTTTCTAACCTCTTATGGCGGGTGGATAAGCCTGTTATTTTTTATAACTGCGCTTATTTACTGGTTTGGTGTTTCGGAGTTCGCTTTGATAAGCCAAGTTCGCCTTCCAGGCCCGAAACCTTGGCCGTACTTTGGGAATCTGATTGAGGTCGCCCGATATGGCGGCTTGCACAAAGCGTTCATAATCTATGGCAAGAAATACGGCAAAGTTTACAAAATGTACTTGGGAAGAAGTCCGATGATCACTGTGGCGGACCCAGAAATGCTGAAGCACATTCTAGTCAAAGACTTCCACAAGTTTCAAAACAGGCCTGACGTGATGAGAGGAAACGCTCCAATGGACAAAGGTCTGTTTGACGCTAGAGATGAAGCTTGGAGAAGAGTCCGCTCCGTTCTTACGCCAACATTCAGCGCTTTAAAAGTCAAAGAACTTGTTCCGCTTATCGACGATGCGGTTGGCATCTTGCTGGGTAAGCTCGAAACGTTTGCAGCAAAGAATGGTAAGTTCCATGGGTGAATTTGTAAAGCAACATCAATTGAGTCTAGTCAATTCGAGGTCGGACGTACCGTGGAATACCGTTTGTGCCATTTTACGAGAACATCTTACTTTCGAGTCGAGGCTGCAAGAGTGAGTTTTCTTATTTTTTCTACAAATTTGAACGGCTAGAACTTCACATGTGTTTTATTTCGACATTTTTTTAAGGTTGTTTTCTACGTGTTTACGGTCAATTAAACAAAGAAATGTCTAATACGATAACAATTGTGCACTTAAGCACTTCGTCGTATATCGACGTATTTTACCGAGTGATTTCATACTAACTATGGTCATTTCAAATACTTTATTGTGGAGTACTTTGTTTAGAGCTCGAAGGAAAACGACTATAGAAAATTATCTGGGTATTTCGAGTGCGCTTTTAGCATGTTCTTGAAATCTTTGTCAATCTTAACCTCAAAGTACAGTTCTTACAACAAAGGTTCTGACATTAGAAGAGTGTAGCCGGTTGGAATAATGGTTCATTAGAACCCGGAGGGGTATTCGCAGTACACATGATGGGCGGGCGGGGTCCGACGGAGCTTCATATTGCGAACCAAGAAAAACATGAGCCTGAAATTTTACACCAGCAAAAACACCTGGCATCAAAATTTCCTACCCAAAATAATACAGGACTTCCACTGATCGCAACAAACATTTCGTTCGCAGATGTGTAACTTCCCCCCAGAAATACACGTATACGCACCTGAAAAAAGAAATACGTGACAGATCTCTTGACTCGACCCAAAAAAAATACCGTGGGTGTAAAAAAAAAAAATCAGTCGGACCTCCCGTCATGTATACTGCAGGTTCCCCCCCCCCCCCCCCCCCCCCCCCC